TGATAAAATCTTCCATAGACAATTTTCAAAGACAAATAAAACAAGAAGTACTTTTTGTATGTGTACCAAAATTAAATCCTGTAGAGAACATAAGCTTACCAATAGCCATGCAAAGGGAGATAACTCCTACTTTGTATTTATTTTAACAAATACAAATTACGTAACTTTGATCCTCTAAAACATCTATAAGGGGTCAAAAAATGACCCCACTGACCATAAGTTTTAAATTCAACTCTTAATGCTGAAAACAGAACCGAAAACGGTTAAAAAATTAATTAAGAAATTAAAAAGCTTACAGGGAAAAGTGTGTTTTCAGCTTTGGCCCCTAGATATCCCATATTAACCTGAATTTTCCTTTCTAAACCTAATCAGGTCGGTTACAGTCAATCGATACTCTGAATTTCACAAGAATATCTTGTTTACTATTAGAGAAAACGTTATTGGCGTTCAACAAAAACGGAGGGCTTTTCGACGTCTTAGATCTCAAGGACCTTAAAGAGCGATAACTCCAAAAAATGAAAAACATTAGACCTTTTTTTTTGTCGTTCAACAAAAACGGAGGGCTTTTAGACTCCTAAAAAATTTTGGAACTTAAAGAGAGATTAATCTTACATTATGAAAAATTTATAGTGTTCTTAAACCAAAAAGTTCTTTGGGATTCCTACTGAACTGGAAACTTAACGAGTATAAAAGTCCATCAAGAGTTATTCAAAGAGACATAACTCTGTCATGACTATTTAAAAATTAACAAAAAGTACTGTACTTCAATCCACTTAAACTCCTACAAGGGGTCCAAAAGTGACCCCACGGACCATAATTTTTATGTTATACTCTTAATGCTGAACCCAAAACCAAAAACGGTTTAAAATTTGGTTAAGAAATAAAAAAAATAGTTACAGGGAAAAGTCTGTTTTCAGGTTTGGCCCCTTGAAATCATTTATTTTCCCGAATTTCAATTTCAAAACCTAATCAGGTCGGAACAATGTCACAGCCATTCTATATTCTGAATTTCACAAGAATATTTTGTTTACTTTTAGAGAAAACGTGAAATGCGTGATATTAAATTTAACAAAGAAACTCCCAGAGACAATTTTCAAAGACTAATAAAACCGGAAGTACTTTTCGTATGTGTACCAAAATTGAAACCTTTAGAGTACATAAGCGTACTAACAACTATGCAAAGGGAGATAACTCTTACTTTATATTTATTTTAACAAATACAAATTACTTTTTTTAGTCTTCAGAAACTCCTATAAGGGGTCCAAAGGTAACCCCACGGACCATAATTTTTACGTTGTAGGGGCCAGCCTAAGCGCATAGGGTTCAAGTGATGTTACATAAGTCCTGAAATTTTCATTAAAAAAAAATCTATCGAGCCATTCTTGAAAAATTACATGCACAAAATCTTTAAGAAAAAACAATAATAATTAAAGTAATTAGAGCAGAGTTTGACCGGAAGCGACGTCAATAAAAGAAAAATGAGTTAAGATGTCTCCAGTGACTTTAATCTTTCAATTTAGAGTCCAAACCTACATGATCAGCTATTTCTGCCTCTTTCGAGTTTGACCGGAAGTGATGTCGATGGCGAAAAATTTGGTTGGACGCTTCCGGTGACATAAATCACCCAATAATATATCGATTATGGCAAATATATGCATTTTAGCTCTTCTGAGCCAAAGGCTCAAAGAGCTAAAGCTATGGCCATTTGTGCGGTGTGCGTAAACTTTTTAGAATATGGGCCATAACTCAAGAACCCCTTACCAATTATTGTCAATGTTGTCACAGGGTATCCTTGGCCCAAGGGCTCCCGTTTGTACTAAAACTAGGGTTGTGACCCTTAAACAAGGGGAGATAATTAGGAAAATAGGAACAAAAGTACTGGTTGCTAAAAAATCTTCTTCTCAAGAACCACTGGACAGATTATCACCAAACTTACATAAAAAGATGAGGATATGTTGTAGATTAAAAATTGCTTGGGGATTTACCCTGGGGCAAAGGGCGTGGTCTCAAGGTCACTTCAAATTTGACCAAAAATTACATTTTATTAAAATGTTGATATTTTGCTAGCTATAAGGACTAGGATCATCAAATCTTGTCAGTTGATGCATTTAAGGACCTCATATCATGTTGACTCAAAAGTAGGTCAAGGTGACCTACTATTTAAATTTTGCAGCCATTCTTTTTCAAAATGATTTAGAGGCATATTTTGAACAATTTAAGACCTATGATCATCAAACTTTGTCAGTTGATGTATCTTGGGTTCTGGAAGTACGTCGTCTAAAAAGTAGGTCACCTTGACCTACTTTTTGAATTTTATGGCTAATCTTTTTCAAAACAATTAAGGTCATTCATTTGAATACTGAGAGGTTTAGAATCATTAAATCCTGTAAGATGATGAATCTTGGAGCCATAAAACATATTTATCAAAAAGTAGGTCACAGTGACCTACTTTTTGAACTTTGCATGCATTCGATTTCAAAGCGTTTTAGAGGCATAATTTGGACATTTTAAGGCCTATGATCATAAAACTTTGTAAGTGGATGTATCTTTGGTCCTCAAAAAACGTCAACTGAAAAGTAGGTCACCATTACCTACTTTTCAATTTAAAGACTATAATTAGATATTTCAGGTACTAATTGGCTTAGAATCATCAAACTTTGTCAGTTGATGCATCTTGGGTCTTCGGAGTAGGTCGACTGAAAAGAAGGTCACCGTGACCTACTTTTGAAAATTTATGGCTTTAATTAAATATTTCAGGTACTAATTGGCTTAGAATCATCAAACTTTGTCAGTTGATGCATCTTGGGTCCGCAGAGTTAGTTGACTGAAAAGGAGTTCACTGTGACCTATTTTTGAAATTTTATGGCTTTATTTAAATATATCAGGTACTTATTGGCTTAGAATCATCAAACTTTGTCAGTTGATGCATCTTGGGTCCTCAAAGTATGTCATCTAAAAAGTAGGTCACTGTGAACTACTTTTGAAATTTTATGGTTATAATTTTAAAAATATTTTGGGTATTAATTGGCTTAGAATCATCAATCTTAGTTAATGCCTCTTGGGTCCTCAGAGAATGACAAGTGATAAGTAGGTCACCATGACCAACTCTCAGGTACTTATTGGCTTAGAATCATCTTGGGTTCTCAGAGTGTTTCATCTAAAATGTAGGTCATGATGACCTACCTTTGGAATTTCAAGGCTTTATCTGAATTTACAGGATACTTAGAGGCTTCAAATAGAACTGATAGGTTGTACAGTTTATCAGAAGAGCGATTCAAGGCCCTTGGGCCTCTTGTTTATTACTGCCTGTTCTGTCAGAAGTGACACCAATAGATGACATTTGATGATCTAACTAGCTTCCACTCGTTATACTGAAAAACTTTGCTTCAATAATGTATTACAAATTCTCAATAGAATTTGAAATATTGAGAAAAAAATTTTGGCACCTCTAGATCCTTTATTTATTTATTTTTTTGTTAATATCATATGAAAGATTGTTTAGTTTTGCACATATTTTGTTCTAAATGATTTAACAAATTATTTACAGGTAAACAGATATTGTAGAAAAAAGTGTTGATAAATTTGAAATTCTTGATATGCCTTTTTTTGGACCATAGCGAGCGCCGACATGCGCCATTTCCGGTAAATTTAAAATCCATTAAGCACATCTACATACATGGCTCTACCATACCTGAAAGTTTCAAGTTTCTATCTAAAGCCTTGTTGAGAAAAAAACCTGGACAAAATGACCTTCAAATATAAAAAACGACGATATCCCTGGACCGGAAGTACGTCATCAAAACGGAAAGAAAGCGCATATGGCTCAAGTGATGTTACATTAGTCCTGAAGGTTTCATAGGAATTCATCGAGCCGTTTTTGAGAAATCGCGTACACAAGATCTGTAAGGAAAAAAAACAATTATAACTAGAGCAAAGCTCGTTGCTGGAGCAGCATGCAAGTCTTCCGTCCAATTCAGGGGAGAAAATGAAGGACAGAAATGCAAACTAGTATTAAAAAGAACACAGTTATTAAGAACATTCGACTCGTACTAATGTGAGACGTCTCCAGGGACTTTTTTTCATTCAATAAAAAGGAGATATGTAGAAAAGGAGCCACTGGTAACTACTTCGGGTTTGACCGGAAGTGACGTCGATCGAGGAAAAATAAAGTCGGACGTCTCCAATGACTTCAAAAATTCAATTTGGTGCCAATATCTACAAAAATAAGCCTTTTCTGTCACTTCCGGTTTGATCGGAAGTGACGTCGATCGACAAAATATTAGGTCGGAGGCTTACGGTGACTCAAATCACGCAATGTCGACATAATATATAATGAATTAAAAATATAACAATTTTAACCCCAAGTTTGTCTATTTAATACTTTTATTTTGAAATAATGAGTATTCTCTGAGGAAACTGATTTTTTGAGAGGGGGGGGGGGTCAAAGGTACATCCTTGTGCACATTAAAGTAAATCCTTTTTAGTCAATGTTTTATCAAACATATTTTATCATATTATTATCAAATATGATACATAAATATATGCTAAAATTTTCAGCATTGTTTGCACATTAATTTTAATAAAATGAATTGAGCATGATTTTACCAGACAACCCTCCTATATGGAACAATTTGTAGTAGTTTCCCCTTATAATATTGTTGGTTATGTGCAGATACCCGATGGGTGTTATCATAATGTCACGAGGGAGCGTGGGTCTTTGCAATGTTCTTCAGTCTTAACTCGATGGGCGGAGTTTATCGAAAAGTGTGAGTTGTGTACAGATAACCACACTTTTAACAAAAGAAATCAAACCAATACTATTGTACAATTAAAGGATAACAATAGTTTAATAATTAATTTGATATCATTCATGGTTGATACAGCGTACTCCGCTGAAAATGGAAGACTAGTTCATTAACTACATCTGGGTTGAAATAGCAAAAGCAAAAGAAATTTTTGACAGATATATGACTACAAAATTTACAAATTTTTCTTTACAGCAGACTCATCTGACCAATACAAGGTGTTACTGAAATCAATTTCCTGACCATATCTACATCCACTGATCTCACAGCAGTTGTTTTACTGGTGTAAAAGGCATGTTCTAAAAGAGGACAAAAATCATTCAAGATTTGCCATACTTCTTGTTAGTATCTTCATATCACAATTTTTCAGACATTCTGCATACTAACTACAGGAGTTTATGAGGAGTGGATTGTTTTCAAAAATTACACTGTCACTTATGGTATACACAATTTACTCCACAGTGTGGTGAAGGAATATTTGACCAAACATTTTTATGCTCATCTGTTGTGACAATAGATTTGGTTTGGCACTGCTTCTTTAATCCTACAAGCCCTTTCACTGCCATGTTTTTTTTTATTATTTTTTTAAGATATTGAGAGAGAGAGAGAGTAAAAATAGATTGTAGACAAACATATTATGTAAATCTTTACTACTTTCATTTAAACATCTTCAGATATTTCATATAAAATCAAGTAAGTACGAGGGTCATTCAAAAAATATGTAAACAATATCGCTCTTCATGATATTAATTATTTTTACAAGATTTATGTTCAGCACATTTTCAAGTACAAAATATTTATTTTGTCGTGTAAAGTTCATTCCATTTGATTAAATGGAACTCGTTACTTAGTTTTGAATTCAACATGTTTTGTTACCACGGAGCAGTCTTAACTACATTGTAACGTCAAAAACAACGTTCTGAAAGTTACTCACAATTACTCTTCCTCGTCATGTTTGACACGGTATGTAGTGCCTTATTAACTCATTAAAAAGGTCTCCATAATACTTGACACATAGTTTGCTAAAAATTATTAAAGTAGCCCACGAGGGTTGTTAGAAAAGTTCGCGGACACCTTGATTTAAGGAAAATATATTGTAAACTTTGAAGAATGACGTATGTCTAATTGAATTCTTATCTTTTGTTTATTAGTATGTAAAAGATCATGTCCATTTACAAACATTTTGAAAATATACTTCGATTTTTACTGCGCGGTCATCGGATTCACGGAGCTATCACTTGACGTTTTATGACGGTAGGTGACGTGACAATCTGATTCCAGACCTGTGAAGATTTTTCACAGTTGTAAATATCTTTCATATCTATAGACTTTTCCTGTCCTTTTCTGACTTAAAAATTAAATAAGTATATCAAGACATGTTATATATTTTTTAATGTCTTTTGTGGCGTATCGGATATTAGTGAGATCTTTAAAACAATGTCTACGCAGTTCAGCGATCAGTTATGAGAAACAATGCAAAATCCATTGGCGCAACGTCCATGCGATGAGCAGGATATCGGGGTATCGCAGGAGTTGATAATCAAAAATGCCCATCCTTCCATTAATTCTTACAAAGTTGCTACCACTTGAACACTTTGGTACGAGATACGTGTAAGCCATCCCCAACAGCATCTAAAAACATTTTAGTCTCTTTCGGGCATTTCCCTGTCTGCACACATATTTTTAATAGCTCGGTGCTCCAAGACGTTCAATGACGTTACCATTTCTTGGCTATGTTTTTACGCATCGATCATCTGTAATTACTGATAAAATAGTCATAACTCCTCCAATTCAATTCAAAATTTCGCCAAATGACGTTTCATAAATATCTTCGCGAGAGGTGAAATATCATAAATCTTTATGCGCTACAACAGTGCAATTTTTAATTTCAAAATTATGTCTCTGAAATGTAGAAGTGCGAAAAAGTAACATGCTCCGTGAAGCATATTTTATCTAAATAATTTCGCTGTTTATTTTTTAAAGATCATCGGAAAACACCAAATTTTTGCATATTAATTGGGAAATACGTATAATTTTTACCTGCAGAGTTTTACTGATTTCATGCAAATAGCGTGCTCACAATAGAACTTGTCCGCGAACTTTTCTAACAACCCTCGTAAGTTAGTTTATCAGTGTTTTCAAATTCTTTACTGTAACTCTGCTTTAATAAGTTCCACAACAATGAAGCCGCATATTTCCATGACGTTACTAAGTCTTTCGATCAGATATTTAATTAAAATTTGTTTCCTCAAATACTGTACATTGTCCGATTTGAAGTCTCTACCACTCAAACACTGTCTTTACCATTAATATTCAAATGCACGAATCACATCTGATATATTTCCTGGTTTCTCCAGCATTTTAAAAGTTTGTTTAATTATATCGCTGCTCCGTGACGTCTTTTAACGTCACCTTTTTTCGCTTTTTTCAAAGAGAACTACAGTACCTGTCTGCTGAAATTGATTTTTCTCTATAAAGGCAATGCATTGCATTACAAATTGGTACTTAAAATCATAAAACAAAAGTATATTTGAACCATTAAATTTTATTTCGTTTAAATGCCATTTGTTAGAGATATAACTATAGATATAAATAAGTTTATTGTTAGAGAATTACTCAATTTTGATCGTATTCCGTAGTTTTAATTTTTTTATAATATAGGTATTTATCATGATGTAGTTGATCTTTTAATTCAATTTACTTGGATTTATTGTTAAAGTATGTGTACCAAAATTTGGTTATAGTATAACGTTAAATAAAAATGTTATGACAAAAGTCTACGAACTTTTTGAATGACCCAATTTTTTTTTTACACAATAAGCGTTTGTCATTGAACTATTCACTTAAATATTTATTACCAGGCTCTATGGCACATTTATATTTTGGATATATAAGGGTCATTCAAAGAATATACACACCTTTGTCATAATTTTTTATTATTGAATGTCATACAATAACCAAATTTGGCAGAAATGTTTTAATCAAACTCCTAAAAATTTGAATTAAAAAAAAATAAATAAAGCGTGATGTATTTCAAAATTATTAGAGATTTAATGCTGAAAAAATGGGGTCATGGAGCACATCAAAATTAAATTAGATACTGGCAATATATCATGTCAATAGTCATATCTCTGTAAAATGACATTAAAGCAAAGTAAAAACTAAGCAATCAAAAGGAGTATTTATGCATAATTTCATTTATCAATTTGTAATATTGCATACTTGAACAGAAATCAATTGAAGAATTCAAGGTAGTCCTCATTTGAAAGGGCAAAATAAAATGACAACACAAAGCAGCGAGTAGGGGTTCAATTCTGTGTCACACGTGTGAAATCTCTAAAACAAACAAAATGTGGGTGGAAGCAGGAAATACATTAAAAAGTAGTCTGTCCATGGCACTTGAGTAATTGTTAGAAAATTAAGTTATCAAGTGGTAAAGAAACTTTATTTAAAATTAAGCTACTTGTGTACAAGTAAGGCACCACAGAATTTGTGATAAATGTAGAGGGGGAGTTTTCTGTGAAACTATCATGACCTTACGTTTTCAAGAGTGCTCGATCGTCACAAAACATGGTGATTTTAATATAATTATCATGAGTTCCACATGATCAGCTGTAATGAAACTTCACACATCGACAAATTGAATATTTTTACATTTGATGCTGTTATGATCATAATTTTCTTAGTATTCATTTGACACAGAGCGAGATTTTTCTATGTACTTTTGAAATGACCCTCGTATATGAATTTTATCCATCTTTTTAATCGTTGAAAAGCCATTATTGTATGAATTAAGTTGTACAACACTCATTTTTTATAAGTGAATAATGTTCATACTTTCAGAAAATTGTGAGTATGTTATGCATAAAGCATATTTACTTAATGATTAGAGGACACATTTTAGAAAATCAAAATTTCATGGAAAAATAATAATTGCAAGAAACAGTAAACACATAAGACTTCAATGTTTTTGCCTGTAATGGCCAAAGACCAGAAGAACATGCATTTTTAAGGTGTCCATCGTCTGTCTGTAAACAATTTCTCAAAACACTACTTCTGCAGTTTAAAATTGTCCTGTTTCAATAAGACTTTGTTTACAAGTAGACTTTACTAGAATATATAATTGTTTTTTGACTTCGACAGATGATGTTGCCATGGTAATTAAGTTCGAAATTTCTATGAAATCCTTTCAAACACCTACTCCTCCTTCAGTTTTAGTCTGAATTCAGCATGACTAAATACACAAGTACACTATACTAAGATATGAACAATGATGCTGTGGTTGCTAATATAGAAATTTTCTTTTAAAATTCTTTCAAAATGCTACTCCCTCTACAGATTTGGTCTAATTTCAGTAAGATTTAGTACAATCTAGACTAAGATACATAATATTCAATATCGGTTTCTAATTTTGATGAACAGCGTTGCCATGGTTACTAAAAATAGATTTTTTAAAAACTCTTTCAAAACGCTACTCAAACAGTTTTGGTTTTGCTTCGATAAGCCAAAACACGAGCAGACTATACTAAGATGCATAATTTTTTTTTAATTTTTTTATTTCAAAGAATGGTGTTGACATGGTTACACATATTTTTGAAAATGCTACTTCTCGTACAGTTTTAGTCCAACTTCATTCAAACTTTGTACACAGTAGGAACAATATTTATCTGAATTAAAAAGGACTTTGTACACACTACATTAAGATACATCGTATTTCCGTATACTTGGTTTGATTTAGAAATGCAATGATGCAATGTATACTAAACAATAAGAAAATATATATTTTTTAAATGCTACTTCTCTTTTGTTTTGGGTTAATTTTAAACTAACTTGGTACACGATAAAACTGAACGAGAGTGATAATTCCGATTTTTTGGTGTTACCATTGCTAATAAGTTTCAAGTCCAGGTAATGCCTTTTTTCTTATAATTAAAAACCATTAGAGCTTAAGTCTCGTCAGAGACTTATTGTGTAAATATAAAAACACTTGATCTATTTGAATGTTTACTTGCTGTTTAAAAAAACTAACTTCGGGGGAAATTTATAAGTTTTGTAAACAAATTTTTTTTTTAGGAAAGAAGTGTTTTATTTAGAATTGCATGTAATTTTAGTGAGTGGAATAATGTATCATGTAAATCAGTTATAAATAAAAAAGATCAATATCAAATGTGTTGTGGAAAATTTGTTTATTAAATTGTTTCCCAAAGTGTATTTATTTTCTTCTCAATTGTTGTCTGCAAATGTTCAAATTGAATTGAAACCTTTTTACCTAACCTCAACAAGTCGAGATGACCTTATGCTTGGAGCAAATCCAAGAACAAGAACAGCAGAGCCCGATTAGTCATTCTGATTTTCAAGCATCCTCGGGTAGTTCAGATTCAATTCATTCTGATTAAAATCAGATCT